TCCTGAATGTTACACACTGTTCTCATCATCTTCATACTCATTAGACCACTCACTATGTCTATGTTATGTTCATTCATATAGCTTTTTCCTTTAATGAGTCACTTGCATGTATCATAGATTTGAAAATCTGAGTGATTATCATCCTTGTTGTTTAACAGGTATTTAAGTTCTGTACTGGCTACTTGCTTACTGTCACTATCCTGCTGAAACATGAATCATCCCATCAGAACAAGGCCTCTGTTATCCTGCATCTATTCACCAAGGAATGCACATACAAACATGAATTCATCATTCCAAGTCACACACACACACACACACACACACACACACACACACACACACAGTTACCTAATGTTGTCAGTGCAAACACATTTTTAGGATAACAGCAGCAGCAACAGCATGGGTAATATGCTCCGAGGCAGACAAAAGGATTGTTTGTCTGCCTCGAAGCTAAAATACATCTCCACTGTCACACTGCAGCTCTGCAGGACCAGGCTCTGACAATTACCATTGTATTAATGTCTGAAACTGTTTGCATCGTTTGGCTGCATACATTGTTCCCTCCATTTTGACAAGTTTCCCAGGCCCTGCTGCTCAAAAGCACCACACAGCATGATAACACCTCCTCGCTTCACAGCAGCACGCTGTTACACAAGCGATGAGCTCAGTTCAATGCTTGTTTCATCTGACCACCGAATCGTTTGCTTCTTGCTCTGCCTTTTCTGCAGGACGGGTAGCCCCGTCCCTGATTGGTGAACTAACTGTTGATTGAGAGCGTGTGTGTGTGTTTTTGTGTGTGTGTACCTGTCTGATGGGCTCTGGGACCCGGTAGCGGCAGCAGGTGTGCGTAAGGCGTACAGCTGTGTCCACACTGATCTTGTGGCCAATGGACACGTACACTGGCTTGGAGCTCTTGTCGGAGCTTCTCAATGCCTGGACACAAATACAACTGTCTCTAGTAACTCTCTCTGTGATTGTTATCGTCGTACACATTTTGTCGAGTTTGACTTTTAGCGGGGTGGGTGTTCTTTAAAGTCGGCAGCAACACAACAACAGCTTTTGATAAAAGCACTTGTTTCTATTTTTTGTGCGTCTGTCCTTTGCCGCACCTTTCCGAGCACTTTGCCTGAGGCGGCTGTGAGTGGGAAGCTGTCTCCTCCTTTCTGCAGAGCAGCTATCTGCGGAGGCAAAGAAACAAAAATCAAAGTCAAAAAAGATGTACAGAAAGCCAATACAAATAGCAGTGCACTGAAACAAACTATTAACCTGCTGTGAAGGATTCACACTCTTGTATTATTCTTTAAACTCTGGGTGACTTGACTTTCATGTCCATATATTTGGAGCTATGGTATGTTTCAAAATTACACATTTAGAACAAACTATAGAATTCTTTAAAGGATGGCACATTAAGCTCTTGATTGAAACAATACTAATAGTATCTTCATATTCAGATACATAGAGGAAGATTCCTACTGAAACCAAGAATAAAGTAAAAGAAAAAGGACAATACAAGAAAATTGTGCTTTTTTCTCTACCAAGGAGAATGTCACATATACCAACATCCTCTACTTTGGACCATTTTAATCTTGAAAACATGTAAAACAAGGTTAGAGGCGTCATCAGCAGTTTTTCTCTACATCAAGATGATGAACTTTTTTTTTTAAAAAGGTAAAAAATGTTTTGTCCACTTTTTCGCAAAACTATTTTGTCAAAAAATAGTACAAAACATTTTTTTTAAAACAAAAAAGAGACAGAAAACAAAAACAGACAGACTATAAGAGAACTTTCTTTTAATTATTTTAATAAAAAATAAAGGCTACCATAAACCAACTGTACCCCTAATCAAAACAAAATATTTCAAAAGCATGATTATCAATAATATTTCATACATGATTTTGTGCATGACACATTTTTCTAAGGCTTTTCTGTAGCCTGACAGAGCTCAGGAAATTTTTTATAATCACTAATTAACACTAACTGTTGCATTCATTCCAACAGTCCTGTGTATGACTAATGCAGAGATTTTGTATTTTTTACCCAAACACATTTTTATTATCCAACCCAAACCCATGACTTTAAATTAAAATCAGTAGTGGGGTAGAGATTAGTTTATCATTACAACCCACACTGATGAAATGACGAGGACAGTTAAAGATAACCTGAGCTGATACATATCATATCTGGGCCGATCTAGGCATATTTTGAAGGATCGTTAACAGCTGATTAAAGCAGATCAAAAGAACAATCCTTTCTTTACTCTCCTGTGCTTTTCCTGCCTCAGCCTGCTGTGGTGCGGCACATTCTCCTGTATGACAGTAGCACTCTACAGGGGAGAGAAAGGCCAAGTGTCTGACAACGTTTAGATGCTGCATATTTTTGTTCCAGGTAGGGTCACGTTTTCTGATGGTCTGTGTCAGAAACTGTGGCTCTCGTTCTGCTGCACTTCTGTTGACCCTTGATCACTTTCTTTGGTGTTATTTAGTCTCTAAAGAAGGTGAGAGAAATGCCAAGTATCTGATCATTATTAGATGCAGACATTTCAGGCACAGGTCGACAGAAGCACGGCAGAATGAAGGCCACAGTTTCTGACAGACAATCACAAAATGTGACCTTGGTACCTGGAACAAAAATATGTATGTAAATATTGTTTCCCTGACCCATTTTAAAGACTGAATAACACTACTATGACGGGGCCTGGCTACCATATATCGTATCATCTCACCACATGATCAAATAGATACTTGACATTGAACGTCAACATATTACCTAGCAACCATCATTGCATGCAAGTATATGACAAAAATATGAAAGAAACTTTTCATTTAGTTGAATAGTTTTTATAGTTTATGTAGAATAAGCATATCATTTTGGTTATGACTAGTTTACCCTATTTTATATATCAAATGGCACCATTTTTAATTTAAGGCATTTTTCACTTGCAAGGACCTGTTCTCTACCTGTTTTTGGAGGGCATTCTCTCTCTACGGCCCCCAACCCACACACCCCACACACCCCACAGGCCCCAGTGCAACTGCACTGTCTATATTTATGCCCCTGATCAGGACCTTCAGTATTTGGATCATGTAGCTCATGAAAAATAAGGTGTGCCGTGCCACAGTCGTAGTAAAGAGCTATTATTTCAATGTGTCAGTAAATCCACATTTCAGTCAATATAAATATAAAATTTGATCCATTCTACTGTGTATTGTTTTCTACTGATGCTAAAAGCCAATTAACTCACAGACCCTCATAATGAAAAAACAACAAAAGAAAAACACAGACTTGATCCTCTCTGGGTATTTTAACATTCCTGAGAAAATCACGCCCGGTGCAATCATGAGTCCTTAGTGGCTTCATATTAGTTTATTCCAAAAACTAATAACCCAGTCATAAATAAGTCAAATCAGACTTTATGACACTATTTGCTATTTAATAAAAACTAGAAAGACCAAAATTAGACTAAACCTGGAAGATAGTTAATATGTGTGATTAGTGGATGATGAACTCAGGGTAACATTTAGGCATTTTTAAGAAGACCTATTCCTTTTTGTTTCTTTAGAAACAAAAGTTTTGGTCTCATAGTCAAAGAGACGGTGCAAAGTCAGATGTACCGATGTGGGCTGCTGTTGACAGGTGTGCTGTGGGTTACGGGCCAGAGCGATGAAGGGAGCTTAGCCTCCATGATGGATGGAGTGTCTGCTCTACTATGACTGATTACAGCAAGCAGCCAGCGGGGAGACAGGAGGGGCAGCACAGGGCCTCCGATCCCGGCTGGGATGAGGCCAACACTGTGTGTGTGTGTGTGTTTGTTATGTGAGGAGAGAGAGAGAGAGAGAGAGAGAGAGAAGAGAGAGAGAGAGAGAGAAGCAAGAGCAGGCCTGAAGCCAGAACAGCAGAAGTCAGAAAGACAGAGCAAGTCATCAATAACACACTAGTTTAAGTTATAGCCAGGCTATCAGTGAGAGGGAGACAAAGAGAAAAAGAAAAAGATAAGATGATGGGAGAAAGATAAAGTAAGAGGGAGAAAGGGGGTGGAGTGGAAGAGAAGGAGGGAAACACTGGAGGTAAAGAGTGTAGAGAGAGAGGAGAGAAAGACAAATACAGAGGATGTAAGATCTGAAGGACGCTAAGCAGCAAAGAACTTCAACAACAAGGGCATCATTTTCCCAAAGTGTATGGAGGACATGGAGAAAGAACAAAAAAACACTTTTTCTCCTCTTTCATCCTTTTTGTTTTGTTTCAGACTCAACGCAGATAAAAACACACAGCACTCCTCTGCCTCTATTCAAGTACAGACACATTACATTTACATCTTCTGGGCATTAAGCTAATTACACCTAATGTAGAGGAGCAGGTAGAGATGGCCTGTGTGTTCAAGGACACTCCAAAAGGATGAACACAGCCTTTAATGGAAACACTGGCCGTGGAGGGGACTGTACATACTCAAAGGTTGTTGTTGTTGTTTATAGACTGTTGTTGTTTTTCTAGCACTGGAACAACAGAGATTTCTCAAACTACAACTTCATTCTTTATTGATTTAAAGGAATGCTTCAACTTTTTAGGAAATACGGTTATTCTTTTTATTTCTGGGAGTGACATGAGATTGATAACACTCTTATGTCGCCATATTAATTTCATGAGGTAGACCATAATTTAAAGCAAGTCATTAAAACTGTTCATGTAAGTCTGAAGGTTGTAGTTCTGAGTCAGAAATATCTGGAATTTCTGACAGCTTCGATATCTCCCACTTGGTTAAAAGAAAAAAAGTGGTGGCAAAGCCTCCATCGCTGGCAACTACATCTAAATAAAATCCTGTTTTATCACTAGTACAATCGATTCAGCTAATTTAAAGGTAGCTATACACAGTTTGTTAGATTTAAATGAACTGTTCCAAATCCTTAACACTGCAAAATTAGCTAATTAAAGGTTGGATCAGTCATTCTGGAGGAAGATTGCTGATTCTCAGGTCGTCAAATACCGGGTTGGGTTGGATTGGGCCAAAGCGGAAGAGACAGAGGGGATGAAAGGCATTTAAGGGCCACGGGTTGGGTGCCCCTGACCCCTTTTCTAAGGCTCTTTGAATGATGTGACTACATTGCTAGCACTGGAGCTAACCATGCTTGAATATTCCCACTTCTGAATAACAGGATGTGTTCTTGAATTAAAATGTGGTTAGCCTATCTTAGCATAAGGACTGGAAGCAGGGAGTAACAGCTAGTGTGACCCTGTCCAAAGTTCAAATATACGCCTACCAACATGGGTCACAAATGAGTATGTTGTCTGTTGTTTGTTTAATCGGTCACAAACAAGTTAATAAGTATGAGCACATGTTTTATATTGGTTTATATTGGTGTACAGTCACAATTGTACTACACCTGCTTACCTTTCTGTGATGGAAAAACTGAAGTTGCTGTGGCCAGCTGTTGTTCGCTAACCTCTAACGCTCACCAACTCCAGCTCTGTACCACCAGGGTGCCCAGGTGGTGATAATGTTATGGCTGATCCATGTACAGTACATAATACTTGAGCTTGAAATTGTTTTTGTTACATGAATACCTTCAAGGATCTGTGCACCTGTGTCTCATAAAGACATACACACACACAGCTTTTACTCTGGAGGCACACACATTTAATTACAGCTACTGAGAGAAAGTTCTCTTTGTAACCTTCAGAGACACCTCTCAGACTGCATATTGGTTTTTGAAAACTGTCAGTGTGTTTTTGGAAACTCTTTCTGACATCTAATTGAGTATGGCAGCATATCACTTGTCAGTGGTACGTGCGGATGCGCGTGTAGATCTGGTAATGGCTAATCTTATTTCTTAACATCTAATTTTCTGAAATTTGGTGGGGAGCCTGATATGGCTTGTGTTTCACGGATTACTTCACAGCTAATTTCCCACCAAGCGCTCAAACGCCAAAGCTGGTGTTGAGTTGAGGCGTCGCAATTCTGTGCGTGCCTGTAGACAAATTAGACGGAGCCCCAGAGAGTGGCAATTACATCAATATGGACGGGAAGGGAGTTCTAAAATTTCATGCACAGCAACTGATCGAAAGCTAATAGCTTGAGTCCAAAGATGCAACATGGGAGTGTAATGCTATTGCATAGTACCTGATACTTAAAATGAACATGTCCAAGCCACCAGGATTTTGGCACAGAGATCGTATCAGTAGATATGTGAGACTGCTTCTTTAGAGGTGACCATGTTTTGTGTAAACAAAGAGATCAGGTTCCTCCCCACGGCAGAGACAAACCAACACTTTCTGACGCCAAAGCCCCTAGTCCTAATTGAGGGAGATGGATACACTCCTATAGAGAATTGAATTAGCATGTTACACTACTACATGAAGACCGCTGGGGTTATGAGCCGAGAGTCTTTTGCCTGCTAATTGAGTTAGCAGTGGATTGGATGATTGCTAGTTATCCATGCTGGTTCCCTTTGAAACTTTTGAGTAGCGCTTGTCATCTGCACTACAGCAAATGCTTGTCACTACTCAGATCCACATGATTTGTATGCCAGAACTTGCATGATGATATTTTCCTCAGGGAAAGCACTTGAGGTCAGTTATTATCATTGACACATCAGAGCAAAAAGGGAAAAAGCAGGGTTCATGCCCTTTCTATTTTTCTATTTTCTGGTTTGCTTCAGGTTGCGCATCCCAAACACTACATTACAAAATACTCTGATGACACAGCTATACTCGCCCTCCTCTCTAACACCGAATCAGTTACAGCATATCACCAATCCATTGCCCACTTCACCCAATGGTGTAAAGACAGTCACCTTCTC